TTTTTTTTTTTTTTTTTTTAAAAAGAAACTACATATATATTTATATGTATAAATTTGATGCAATTTTAAAGATTCACTTTAAAGACTCATTAATGAATAGAAAAAATGTATAATTTACAACCGATTGATTTAAACATTCATATACTATTTCAATAATTATAAAACATTTAACTAGAAAATATTAAATGTATCACAAGTATTAATACATCGATCATCAAAATATTCTAACAAAAAAGATAAAAATTTTCACCTGTAACCTTAAAAATAGTGGAAAAGACAGAAATATACGGCTATGGGCACGATTGTTCGAGTGGCGCGGTACCGACACGAAGCACGTAACACACGAGTGGCGCAAACTCGCAACTGTCGATCTTGTGAAAATCCATACCGCACAGATTTCACCATCTCCGGTGCATGCTTTAAATATACTAAAGAATATAATGTAATATACTTATATACTAACGTAATTTGTGATAAATATATAATCCCAAGTAAAATACATTATTTGTTACATTGTTTCTATGAAATCATGAATGTTAAAATCGAAATATTAATCTTTTCACAAATATCTGCGAGTATTGAAATTTATGAAAATATCGTAAAATATTGTACGTTATTTAATGTTCTATAATATGAAGATAATATAAATATAAATCAAACGGAAATAATTTTCGTCCATTTGCAGTGTTATTATATTAGATTATACATACATACATTGTCGACTATAAGCTAAACGTATATTACATAAATGAACGCGTTAAAGGGAAAGAAAGAAAAAACAATTTGAATAAAATCTCAAATACATATTTTATACAAGTCTACTCTGGATTTGTTGCATTTTAATTGAAATCAAAATCACTTTCCGTGTTTGAGATGTTTCTTTCGATCGTACTATCTGTGTCAGAGTCCAATAAGGATTTATTTGCATCCTTCTTTTTCTGCATCCCATTTTCAAAAGATGATCTTTCATTTTTATCTTGTACTAGGTCAACAACTTTCTCTTCTGCGGCTTGACTTTTTGACTCCTTTTGTAATTCTTCGTATTCTTGATTCTGTTTGTCTTCTTCTTCTTCTATGACCTGATTAGGATCGTAATCAGAATATGCCAAAGATTGATTTACATTGGTGTCGCTTACTCCACGAGAATCGTATTGTTGGTCATATTGTTCATTCATATTTTTCTGGTATTGAACGTTAGGATCATATTCGTACTGATTTTCAGAATCATATTGTTCACCTACGTATTCTTCGTATTGCTCGTCCAATCTCTGTACGTATTCTTGATTAACGTACTCTTGGTATTCTTGATTTTGATTATTTTCATAAACAACAGTTCCTTCATAATTATGCTCTTGATTAGTTTCATGCGATTCGTTTGAATTATAATTTTCATCTTGTCGAATATCATCACGCAACACGTTTGAATTGCAATTTTCATCTTGATTAATTTCGTACGATGTATTTGAATCGTAATTTTGTTCTTGATTAGCTTCATACGACACATTTTTATTATAATCATTGTTTTCATTATCTTCATAGGACGCATTTTGGTCGTAACTGTACTTTTCGTTTAAATCAGCACATTCTGTTTCATAATTTTGGACATAGTTTTCTATTTGATTAAAATTTTCGTAATAATCTTGATTATTATATTCATCGCTTGGTATTGTCATTTCCTGTTCATTATTTTCATTTGCATCAAGTACAAAATCAATTTTTTCACATTCTTGTCCTTGCTCGTTATTAAATTCATTTTGTTCATCAACCTGAACCTTCGCTGACTCTATATTCTGAGTAACACTTTCAGTATCTGTACAACTTTCATTTTTATATTCTACTTTCTGCAAAGCAGAAGCCTCATTTACTTCCATTTCATTTTTATTCGTAAACACTTTATTTGATTCAAGATATTCGATATTTTGTTTCGATTCATCTTTCGAGCCATTCAAATGCGTATCTTCACTGGTATCTTTCCTATCGTTCCGACTTTCCAAAGTCTTTATTTTATTTAAAGGTTCAGTTTGTTTCACATCGTCCTGATTCAATTTAAGAGTATCAACAACAAATCCTTTTTCATCGTTAAATTGATTTTCAGTTTCGCAAGTTAAACCTATTTCTTTTATTCGTTTCTGTAAAAGATCTAGGTTCCATGGTTCTAATTCTTCGACAGTATTAAACAAATATTGATCAAGGTTTGATTCTGCTGCAATACAAATATTATCATTTTCATTATACTCTTCTTTTTGTATTTCTTTAGATATTTTAGTATCTTGTTCCGTAATCTTATCGTCTAATGAAACGGCGAAAACAACTTGCTGCTCATCTTTTTCTGTTTCAGGCAATTGCCGTTGGCTATTAAAATTCTCTTTCCCAGTCTTTCCGATATATCGATGTGAATCTAATTTCGGCACATGTAACTTAATATCATTGCTAATTTCGTCTTTTGCAAGCATAGCCAATGTTTCAGGTCTGTTGCGCGTAATTGAAAACGCAGTGTAGCTTCTTTCTGGAATCGGAATATCACTTTGTGCGGTTTCAACTACTTCAGCATAATTTCTATCTTCATTCGTGAGTCCTTCTTTAGTACTGTTGATAACGTTTAAATCCACTGTCCTCGACACAAGATCATCCGCTAGTGCTAAAACCTTTTCAACCTCTTTAGGAAGATTTTCTTTTGATTTACCCTCAATAGGAATCCGAAAATTCTCATTATCTGACAAAGTATCGTTAAGCGTATTAACATTCATATTTTTCTCCTTATCAATTTCCTCCAAACTTTGTGCGTCAAGGTCACATTGAAGTTTCCGTATTTTATCGATATACCTATCTAATTCGTTCTCTACAATCATTGCTGTTCTACATTCATCTTCTTTTGCAATGGCTTGACTCGGATCCATCGAAAGGCTAATTGATGTTTTTGGGATGAAACGTTTATACCTTTTTATCATATTATTGACATCGGAAGTTGCTAAAGACCGCACACAAGTATCACTAACGGATTTTTTCTTTGATTTAAAATGATCAAACTTTCTCCACGAATAATCAAAGCAATTTGGAGAAATGTGTTTTAAAAAATTTGAAGATTTTATTGGATTGTTTTTATAAAGATATTTCATCGGAGATATTTCACCGAATTCTTGTCCACTTTTTGTCCTCGTTTGCATATCATTTATCAACGTTTTATGGTTCTCTTGCCGATGAGGTTGCACAGCTGATGATAAATGAAAATAACGTGGAGTCATAAAAGCAAATCGATTTTGAGATACATCCAAGAATTTATATTGCGACGTACTACTGTCTGCACGTTCCGGAATCACAAAATGTGACATATTTTGAGCCGTCTCCGTTCGTTCTGGCAGGGTTTCGTTCAAATCGAAATGCGGAACAGTTTGTTGACTTAACGACCCCGACCGACCTGATGATACATATGGAATGTGCAAATTTCCACCAATTTGAACATATTGCCTTCGTTGAAAACTTGTTGATACTAAATTTTGATCTGGTAGCTGCTCAATCGAATCACCGTTATGTGAAATTAACGGATATGATGGTAAAATATTCTGACCGTTTACTTGTTGATTTAAAGCTCTTGGTTGTACAATATTCCGTTGGCAATAATTGTAATGTATATTTCGTGCCGATTTAGTTAATTTTACTGTAGAGGGGAAATATAGTCGATTTTTCGGACCGTTCGATCGCAACATGTGAAATGGAACAGTATTTCCTACTTCGGAAGAAAAGTGAATTTGTTCTCCAGTGACATCTCTCTTCGGATATCTATCTTCGCTTTGACTCATAACATTGCCGTCATCGATAATACTTCCTGATGGACTAGGAACTGTATAAATGCGACGAAGATAAGCTTCATATTGTTTCTGAAATATAACGAGATATTCTATATTGCAAATTATATTTCTAATTATGTACATATGTGTATATAATATATCATATTTCATATTTCAAACAAATATTTCATATTTATCTAATCACATGCTACGTATTGACACCAGTTTATGTGCTTTGCAAAAATATTTTTAAAGAGATAATAAATTAATAATTATTAAGATAAATTATTTTATTTCGTATGAATCAACTAATTAAATAAAAATTTCTTATCGAAAATTAGCAAGTTTTTCGTGTAGTCTACCTCTATGTGAAATATAATAATAAGCCTGTTGTAATAAATTTGAAATTACTAAGAATAATAAAACTCACTTTAAGAACATTGAGCCTATCTGTTTTTGCAGTCATCAACGCAAGACTATTATCTACTCTATCCAATGCTTCGAGAAGTTTATGATTCCTTTCGTCTCTTGTACGTTGTTCCTCTAAAAACTCGATGTATCTTAAACGTAACCGATTTATACATGCGTCATGCCTGAAATAGCAATAATTTCACAATTTTCCAATAAAAACTTTCGCTTTAATTTAAGAAGCAATTTTTCTTAAATAAAGATTATTAGCGCAAAAGAATGATGATCACAAACAATAAAAATTAATATATTCTTAGAATGAAATCTACTGCAGTTTATTAAATGCTGCATAATCAAAGAACGTTGCGTAACATTGACTAAAGGTCATGTCTTTCTTAAATATATACATATACACATATGTGTGTATATATGCATAATACGTCTACACACATAATCACGCGCGCGTGCGTGCGTGCGTGCGTGCGTGCGTGCGTGTGCGTGTGTACATGGAAACCAAGTATACACGCACGCGCGCGCGTACGTGTGTGTAATGTAACGTAAATATGTAAAGTAAAATATATATATATATATATATATATATATATATGCATATACCAAAATAGAAGAACTGCAGTGCCAAATAAAGAGAATATTTATCTATGTAACTCCATTCTGTATATACGATCGATGTTTACCTAGGTTAAGGCGTATTTCGGAACATAAACACAAATAACACGGAATTCATGTTCGAAATCAATTGCAAGACAAAGTTCGTATTGATTGTGACATTTCTCAAAACTAGGTCACTTGCACATCAATATATAATCCCTGTAATTCTATCGTTTTATTACTACGAGAAACAGAAATAAAATCGATAATTACAGTTATTTATCAATGTATTATTAAAAATATTAAAAATATTTTTCATCGCTGTATATGCTCGAGCCGATAAGTCAATGTTGCTCAATTTCTTAATTTCAAAAATTTAAATTTATTCATATAAAATATAGAAATAACACATAAATAAACAATTTTGATTTAAAAACTCACCTATTACGGGATTCCTGTATAAGTATTTTAAATCTCTCTTCTAATCTTATCCTCTCTTCTTCGCTATAAAAGTAATTGTTCGCAAACGCGATAATTTATACATATTTATATTTAAATGTTATTACTTAGTAATTGCTCAAAAGGAAAGGGAAATATAATAAGTAAATAAAAATATTGCAAATTAAAAGAGAAATATAGTAATAGTTTTAAAAAATGTACTTCACTTACCTTTTTCGTAACTTTTCTTGCAATTCCAGCATTTTTTTATAATAGTCATAATTGTCATAAAACGATGTCATAGTTAACAACAATGTATAATTCAGCTTGAATTAATTCAAAATTTGAAGTTGTCGATTGTATCGATGTTCGATATTTGGCGCTTATTTCGAAAAATTTTAATAAAACTAACATGTCTTAAATAATGTTTACAAACAACATTATTTGCATTGATGCTTTGCAAAATCAATAAACATTGTATAACTGGAAAATATTTAATAAATATATATAACATCTGCAAATAGTAAATATTTAGTAAATATTTATCTTGGTATTTTATAAAATTACTTCAATTACTGATCGAGAACTAGGACGAATGATCACTAAATTCATTAAATAATACTAAAAGATATATCTTATATATTACGTTGTCATATAAATTAATTTTATTTTGAACAATCATAGCAAGAATAGTTATAACGATCTTTCTTTGGTTCGATGGTACGAACAACTGTCATATTTGACGTCGTACAGTCGTAGGCTCAGGGGTGTTACAGCAGGTAAACACGCAGGTGTTGTCCCTACTCCTACCCTACTCACGCAATGATAAAATATATGTACATACATATAAGATTATCTTTTACTTTGATAACTATGAAAAACAAAGCATTTGCTTATTCTAATTATTTTTAAAAAGTTGCTTTCACTGAATATAACATAATATGTGCATATATTAAATGTTATGCAACTTTTCAGAATAATTTTTTATTTTCTATATAAATATAAATCTTGATACTTGAATCAAAAGTATTTTCGTTTAATTTAATATTATAAAAATTTCATTATAAATTTTTCATAAAGAATTTTTCTAAATTAAATATAATCTCTACAGTAACTATATATTGCATATTTCAAACATCAATCGTAAATCAATTTTGTGATAATATCAAAAATTGAAACAAAGAAATAGAAAACTCTTTTTTCAGTTTTTATCTCCACAGAAATGTTTGCTTATATTATTAAAGCAAATTATATATTTACATATATGTATATTTTCATTTTTTATTTATATTATTTATAATATATTATAATTTATTGTAAATTGCACAAAGTATCTTTTTTTGATAAAAAGATAATAAAGTTGTAAAAATGAACAAATATTTATGGAACTATAAATTAATTTCAATCGTAATATATTTATATATGTTTATCATACATTTCATTGCATTTTCTTGTTTCCTATCCTGGGTTTATTAAAAGGTGTGCGAATATATCTATTATCCTATTTAAAAGTAAGCTAACAATCTATTAAAGATATCTAAGAATTTTATTCATAATAGATCGAAATATATATACATATATCGTGATGTAGATGTAAACTAACAATGGATATTTCGAAATATCGAAAGTCGAGAAAGTTTTCAAGTCATAAAAGATATAAAATCAATGAACTAAAATATCATTCGCAGTGTATCTTAAAAAAATTTTTTAGTATAACAAAAAATATAAAAATAAACCGAATGTTAGTATTTTTAAACAAGAATTTGAATTAAATATCTTTGTATATTCATATGTATTCGTTTGTATTTTGTTTAATTATAATCAATAACAATTCATGCAAAATTTCTTGAAATTTCATTTCGTAAAGTACACTATTTCTTTTACAAAATCAAATCAACGCTTCACGATCTAAAAGTTTTGAAAGCTGTGAAATCTTACAAAGTTTTTAAGAATTTAAAAATTTGCTTCCAATCCAACTCTATTGCATACACATACTCAATTGTACAATTGTATTGTAAAATTATATTTTATAATACAATAAAAATCAAACTCTAATACACAAAAAGCTACACAAAACATTTTATTGAAAATATTTATTCTTTCCTATATTATTTTATTATATTTCATGAAGTGTCTTCATTTTTTTTAACATAAACTGCATGTAAATGTTCTTGTAATTTTGGTGTATTTTCTGTAGCCATATATAATGTATGATGTAAATAATCTCCAATAAGTTCAAATTGTCTTCGAAGCTATTTAAATAATAATTGATTATATACAATAACTTCTTTATTAAATTACTTTTTATAAATAACTATACCTCAATTACTGCAGGTGATTTTATTCCATCTGTTGGTCTTCCTATATTAGTTGCTTTCAATTCAATAATTTTATCTTTTATTACTCCTTCTTCTACAGTTGTTACACCAAAGTTATGAGACAATAGTAATTGTATTATATTTGTATTAGGTATTATTTTCAAAAAACCAACTTCGTAATGCATTGGATTTCCTGTATCAATATTCCAACTTTTTGCAACATAATTCAACATTGGTTGACCAATAGAAGTAAAAGTCATTTCTTCACAGTATGTAAAAGACTTAATTGTTGGAAATTTACCCACACCAGGATCTTTAGTTTTCCATATCCCTTTTAACCAAGCTAATGGCTTGATCACTTCATGCATTGGTAATTCTTTCATATCTAACATAAAAAGAATATTTATTACAATAATTATTTAAACCGCTAAAATAAAATTAATAATAATTGTATAATTTAATATAATACTAACCTGTATTATCATTAGAGATATACCGAATATAAAAAACTCGTGTAACTTTTATTTCATTAATAGTTCAAATTCTTTTTTTTTATATGATATTACAAATACTTTATTACAAAATTTATAATAGAGTACTGATGTATGTATATTGTTCCCATATATCTATTAATTATATAGATAGTAATATTTCGTATAATTGTGTGTGATAAACTACTAAGTTATAAAGTACTTTTTATTTTAATTGCTTATTCAATTTGATACTTCAATATCTTCTCGATATTTAAGGTATCTATCTGTTATTTTCTTCTTAACTTAAATTTTCTGAATTATTATAATATCGATTTCTATACTATATTACATGATAAAATAACCTTGAAATTAAATACAATTATACTTCAAAATTTAAGTAGATAAACTAAAATAATTGAGTGTTGAAGATGTATTAAATATTAATAACTTTTTAAGTAAACACAAATATTAAGAAAATATCGCAATTTTTTAATAAAAAGATGTCAATTATAATTAATGAATTCCAGTAAATTATATCGCACATATTCGTTTCTAGTTAGTAATTATTTTTATTTGATAATTGTACAATAATTCAATTATTTTTACTAATTTACAGCATATTATTTATATTAAGTTATATTCTATTTATTTTTTCCGAATCTGAATGCATAATATTTATTCTGAAGTATGTTTGATATTTATAATAGTCAATCAAAATATTTAAAAAATTTCATATAAAGTAATTTTGACATATACGTTACTATTTGACGTTTTAAATGTAATATCATAATTATTTATTTGAAGGGATAACAGGTATTGTAGTATTTATTTAGCTGCTGATTAATAAATAAAAAGTTAACACATTTATTATATAAAATTTATAATATTCAACTTTGGTAAGGTAAAAACAAAATATACAATTATGTAATATATTTAATATACTTGATTATGTAAGTAGCATTTATGCATATTAAATATTTTGATGTAATATTGCAGATTATTATTTTTATACATCAAAATTAATATTGAAATAATGTTTTCAAATTAATTATTTATTTTAAATTGATATTAAAAACACTAGAACCAGTAAATTAGGTTTAAATATATTATTTTTAGTTTGGGTAATAACATTTTCTTTTTTTTCATATTATGTGTATGTACATGTACATATATACATATACATTTTAAAAGAATTATGGCAGTTTCGATCAATGAAATTTGTGAAAATACTAAATTGGCTCGTGAAATGGCTTTAACTGGAAACTATGATACGTCTGGAGTTTATTACCAAGGTGTTGTTCAACAAATTCATCGATTACTTGCAAGCATTGTAGATGCCACACGAAAAGCTAAATGGCAACTTGTACAACATCAAATTGTTGAAGAATTTGAAAAAGTAAAAGCAACATCAAATACTTTACAGCTTTTTAAAGTTGATACACATGGAGAAAGATTATTAGGTATTATTATTCATAACAAAGTTTTAATGAAAATATATATACACAAATAATACAATCAATACACAAATATTTAGGTACTTCATGCTTATCATTTGAGGAACCTACAAGAGATCCAACTTTATGGACCTATAATAATTCAGACAATCCATGGAATCAAACACCAGCAAGAGATCCAGATGTATGGCCCCCGTTAACACCTGCAGAGCAGAAGTAATATTATATTATATATATTTATTGTAAAAAATACTTTTTTAAATTATATTGATATTACTAAATTATATTTATAGAAATATTAGACCATTAAAAAATCAATCGAAACAATCGAATCGAACGAGTATACGAAAATCCGTAACTACTGGGAAAAGATCAGATGCTAAAGGAGTTGTTAAAAAAGATGATAGAAAGGCATCAAGGAAAGATGATTTGAACAAAGTGAGTTCCATTTTTACTCGATAATTAATTATATTTTCACATGCAATATAATAGTATTTTTATAGGATAAATTGGAAACTGAAAAGGTAGATGTAGAAGTAGAAGAACGCAAATTTGAACCATCTGGAAATGATAGAGATTTGGTCGATTTATTAGGTAAACTTTATACTTGTATACTGGATGACACATAAGAACCAGTATTCCTAAATATTTTCATTATTTATCGATCTATTAAAAAAGATTTGAAAACAAAGTTTCACTGTTTAAAGAGGAAGTATACAGTAATAGGAAAGAAATTCTTTCAAGGTCATCATTTTACATGATGTAAAGGTCAGCAATGACTTCTTTAAATAGAATTATTTTTTTTTTTATTATAGTATGTTATAGCTTGTGTTAATATGAATTCATCGATCTCGCACACTGTGACTTTGAAGTGATCTTGGACTGAGATTTCTTAAAAAAAATTCCTAAATTATGATATCACAGTCATAGCTACAATACGTTTGGTACTATTATTATTAGTAAAAAGTTACCTCTTGATATTCATTTAAATGTACATAAATGTAATTATCACAAAACTATGGATATACTTACATCTGTTACTACTATCGAATTATTGAGACAATGCATTTATCGATGTTATACCTACATACGTTTAATCATATGTTACTCGAAAGAAGAAAAAAAATTTCACATGATATTTTCGTTAATTAAATTAAAATTTCTCTGTTCAAGGTCACTTCAAGGTTGTCGTGTGTTAAACCGATGAACTCGTATTAACTTCAGCTACAATATACTGTAATAAAAGATATATGATTCTACTTAAACAATTCATCCATGACTTTGAAATCGTGTCAAATTGTGACTTTGAAAGAATTTTTTATCTATCATTGTATACATCTTTTCAAACAATGCAACATTTTTTCAAAACTTTTTTGATACCACGTTAATAACGAAAATATTTAGGAGTCCCGGTTCTTCTGACACATCCTATATTAACAATCTTAAAATGAAATAAATTATTATATATTTGTATAAATGTTACAGAAAGAGATATTGTTCAAAAAAATCCAAATATACATTGGGATGATATTGCTGATTTACACGAAGCAAAACGATTATTAGAAGAAGCTGTTGTTCTTCCAATGTGGATGCCAGATTTCTTTAAAGTATATATAATAACCTTGTGTGCACTCCATGTAATAAAATTTGAAATATACTTTTAGGGAATTCGTCGTCCTTGGAAAGGTGTCCTTATGGTTGGTCCACCAGGAACTGGGAAAACAATGTTAGCAAAAGCAGTAGCTACTGAATGTGGAACAACATTTTTTAATGTATCATCTTCTACACTAACTTCAAAATACAGAGGAGAATCAGAAAAACTTGTCCGTCTCCTTTTTGAAATGGTGATTGTGTATAATAACAAGATAATATATTATTTTTTTCCCAACAATGAATTTATTCAAATAAACTTAACTATTTTAACTTTTAACTATTTTCCTTTACTAACAATTATACATACATTTATGCAGGCCAGATTTTATGCACCTAGTACAATTTTCATTGATGAAATTGATTCCCTATGCTCTAGAAGAGGGTCTGAATCTGAACATGAAGCTTCACGACGAGTAAAATCTGAACTATTGGTTCAAATGGATGGTATAAGTTCTAATAGGTAAAATAATTATACAATAGTTTTTGACATATGTGAATTATCTATCTATAATAAAATACATTTTCTAGTGAAGATCCAAGTAAAGTTGTAATGGTATTAGCAGCAACAAACTTTCCATGGGACATTGATGAAGCTCTTCGGAGACGATTAGAGAAACGTATTTATATTCCATTACCAAATCGTAAGTTTCATTAAAATTCATTAGAAGCAATTTTTATGACATATACTTTAATCTTCTAACAAAAATTTGGAGTTCACAGATGAAGGTAGAGAAGCATTATTAAAAATTAACTTACGTGAAGTAAAAGTAGACTCATCTGTAAATTTAGCAGATATTGCAAGAAAATTAGAAGGTTACTCTGGAGCAGATATTACAAACGTTTGCAGGTAAGTAAAGATAACTCTTTACTTCATTTATGTACAGTTTTATATATATTAAATAATGTATGTTTACATTTTGCACAAATTTATATACAGAGATGCATCTATGATGTCCATGCGGAAGAAAATTGCAGGCTTGAAACCTGACCAAATTAGACAATTACCAAAAGAAGAACTAGATTTACCTGTATCTGCCACAGATTTTGATGAAGCTGTTGAAAGATGTAATAAGAGTGTTTCTCAAGAAGATTTAGAAAAATATGAAAAATGGATGAGTGAATTTGGTTCATCCTGATATCATTCTACTCAAAAAACATAATTTTACAAAAAATTGTTTATTCAGATGCAGATGGTTCAAATTTTTATGGATGTAATAATTATTTTTTGAAAAATTATCATCTATCAGTACTGTATTGATTTTTTAAGGTAACGTTCTTTATTGTATTATTACCATGAACCATTTACATTTTTCCAATTTTTTAATTTCAAAGATTAATGTAAATTCAAAATTTCTTCAAAAACTAAAATCGCTAATAAAGTTGAATAATACAATTTATGGAACATTACATAAGTTGATATAGAATGTTATGAAATATTTTTTTTATGTAACAATACAATTTAATAATATGTTATTACTAATTGAATTATGGAACTAAAATCAAAAGATATTGAATGTTTTTATAGTACACAAATTTTCATTTGACCAAATTAATCATTGTTCAAAGTTTTTACTAATAATTATAACTAATTTCAATATTTTAAAGTGAATATATTGTAAAAAATAAAGTTAACAGGTGTTTTACTTAAAATATATTTATTTTTGCAATATTTAAATTATATCAGACTATTAAATTTTTCAGGTATTGACAAAATTAACTTTACACATTACATTTAGATTAAAATAAAAATTAAATTATTGTTCTTATTAGTACAGATTATAATTAAAACAGCAAATTTTTCTCAAACTCAACATTGTAATGCTATTATAAGTGCACAATATACAGTTATAAATACTTTAAATATATGTAATGTATTTCAAAAGTAATGACATACTAACCATTATTTTTATTATATATCTTTTGGAGCACAGCCTTCTTTTCTTAATTTTTTGGTTTCTTCATCAATACTTTTTGAATCTTTTGGTGCTTTATAACTTGCTACATGGTCAACTCTTATTGTTCTGCCTAAGATCTAAAGTATACAATTATTACTACAATTAACTTATGTAATTTTTACTTCATTGTTAAATATCATTAAAGAATTTCATTGAAAATAATTAATCTATTTTTAAAATACCTTAATTCCATTAAAATTATCAACAGCTAATGTTGTACTTCTCTGATCTTCATAACATAAAAAACCATATCCCTTTTGTTTTCCTGTGTCTTTATCTCTAATTAAATTTATATTTACTACTTCCCCAAATCTATAATAATGAACAATTAGTATTTGTCAAATAAAAATTATAAATTAATTTAAATATTTTTAACTTACTGAGAAAATATGGTTATAACATCACCTTCTGTTAAATCATATGGTAAACCACCAACAAAAATCCAAGCACTGTTTTTGTATTGATTATGCCAAGATGTTTTTTTGTCATTTAGTAATTCTTGTTCCCCAAGCTTCTGTATGTTTCTTACATTTCTTAAAACGTATAAAATATCTATAGTTCTTTTTTGCTTTTTATAAGAAATTATATTTATCTTTTATAAATAAAATGTTATAAAAGTACTTACGTTAAAGGGTTCATTTTATATGTAAAGAAAGGAAATAATACATAAAAGATGTTAATACGTTTCTTAATCAGACGTACAGTATATTTATATTTAATAAAATTTTATACAATGTCGTATTTAGTACTTATTTATAGTAATATTATATATAAAAAATAAACTATCAATAATTTATTGTATATTAATGTATTCAAAAATAACAATAAGATATTGAACATAAATGGACGTTCCGAAATATAACCTCAAAAATAGTTATGATATATATGAATAATTTGATATAAATTCATAAATACGTGTAAAAAAGAATAAATAGTATATTTGGTATATTAATAAAAGGAACTAAACTGTTAAAATTAGTTGAGAAACACAATTATTTAATATTTTATTATTATAACTAAGTTTATTACTGTCATAGCAAAAGATGACATTTAATTTTGAGAAGACCTTTTTTACAATGATCATTAAGAAGACATATTGAATAAATTAAACTCAAGTAGAACACATTTTAATTCAATATTTTTATGTGTATAATATATTTTAATCAAATATAAACTGTTTTTTAATTAAATGAAAAAGTTACAACATGGTATCAACAAAAGTATCACACAAAGTAAACAGAATCTCTTATTTCTATTACAATGCTTTTATAATGTGTTTATTAATGTTTACATTGCTTATTATTTTAATTACGGCATATATTTTTAAATTTGGGAGTACACAAAAACGCACTGTATATAACGCTATTGCTCTTAATAATTTACATTCATTACCTATACAAGTAATAGATGCTGATTTTCCAATGGCAGATAACACAAATATTTCTTGCACATACTTTAGCTGTTTTAATATTTATCGCTGTGGTAGTCAAGGAAATAAACTTTTAGTATATGTTTATCCACCAAAAATATATGTAGATCCATTAGAAAAGCCTATAACGAGTCAAATAACAAAAGAATTTTATCAAATTTTAAGTACTATTATATCAAGTAAATTTTATACACCAAATCCATATGAAGCATGTATCTTTATTCCTTCAATTGATACATTAAATCAAAATAGATTAAGATTGCAAGAAGTTTCACAAGCACTGGAAGCACTACCATTGTAAGTCTTATTTTATTTCATATACATTTATATAAAATGTATATCTATACTTCACTATTTATACTTTATTTTAGCTGGAATAATGGTGAAAATCACCTTATATTTAATATGGTACCTGGAAGTGTACCTGATTATAATACAGTCATTGATGTACCTGTTGGAAAAGCAATGATTGCAGGTGCAGGGATGTCATCATTAACATACAGATATGGTTTTGATATCAGTTTGCCAGTATACAGTTCTGTTGTGAATAATCTTAAACCAAATTTTAATAATACAAGGTAATAAAATATTTATAAGTTCTTTATTCATTTGCAATAACAAGTAGATATATATTTTAGACAATGGTTGGTTATTTCATCTCAAATGAATATTAATTCTGCTTTTGAACAAGATTTATTGGAAGTTAAATCTATGTCACCAATGGATATTTTAATATTGGGTACATGTCTGCATTATAATTCTATGAACAGTGCAATTCGATGTTCAGGAGAAGATTTTTATAAATATCCTAATGTCCTTCAAGTATGTAAAATCATAATAATTTCTGAAGCAATTAACGAAAAAAATTTTTTTATTATATTAAAATTATTATTGCTAGACAGCAACATTTTGTTTAGTAATTCGAGGTGCAAGACTTGGTCAGAGTACACTTTTAGAATGTATGGCAGCGGGTTCTATACCTGTAATTATAGCTGATTCTCTGGTAATGCCTTTTCATGGCATAATTGATTGGACAAGGTAAGACTCAATTAATTATTCTCTCTCTCTCTCTCTCTCTCTCTCTCTCTCTGTCTCTCTCTCTCTCTGTCTCTCTCTCCCTCTCTCTGTCTTTCGCACGCACGCAAGTACTTTTGGAGAAATTATCATAACAAATTTATTTTTTATTTAGAGCCGCCATATTTGTACGTGAAGTAGATATCTTATCAGTAATATCTGGCTTGAAAAAAGTATCTCATCAACGAATCATAGAACTTCGAGAACAGAATGAATGGCTTTATGAAAAGTATTTTCAATCTATGGAAAAAATAACGGAAACCACATTGGAAATACTGGCAGATCGTGTATTCCCGCATTTAAATAGAGAGTATACATTTTGGAATATACCACCTCATAAGGAAAGTATAGAATATACTAAATATTAAACCGTCAATGGATGAAATTAATTGTTATTGTGTTATAAATATAGGATATTACATCTCCTTTGTTTTTACCCACTACTGTACCAAAAACACGAGGATTTACTGCTGTAATTTTAACATATGACAGATTGGAATTACTGTTTCTTTTAATTAATAAGCTTGTGAAAGTGCCAAGTTTGTCTAAAGTTCTAGTTATTTGGAATAATCAACAGAAGGATCCACCACATTGTAAATTTTAATTTTCCATATTGACATTGTACTGTTTCTATCTAGATTAATTAATATTAGTACTGTTTAAAAAATTTGTTTATGTATTGTAGCAGTTGGATGGCCAAAGTTAAATAAACCATTAAAAGTTATACAAACAAAGGAAAATAAACTATCAAACAGATTTTATCCTTATGATGAAATTGAAACTGAAGCAGTTCTATCAATAGATGATGATATTATTATGCTAACTGCAGATGAAGTAGAATTTGCGTATGAGGTTTGTATATTACAATTGAAACGATAATATTAAAAAATAGTAATAAATATAAATAATAAATATTAGGTATGGAGGGAGTTCCCAGATCGAATAGTTGGTTTTCCATCTAGAATTCATATGTGGGATAATGGAACAAATTGTTGGAAATACGAAAGTGAATGGACTAATAGCATTTCTATGGTTTTAACTGGTGCTGCATTTCACCATAAAGTAATGTATTTTTTGATCTTATTACTTAAAAGATATATATATATATACAAATATATAGAAAAATTTTTTTCTTTAGATTCCGGAAATACAATTTCTTCTATTTAATATTCTTGGATTTAATATTCCACTCCAAGAAATATATTTTATATTTTTAACACAAATTTCCTGCTTTCCTACATTCCTGAATATAAATTCCTGAAAAAATTAAGTATAATTAATTTTATTTATAATTTAACATATTAGACTACATTAATATTTTAAGTGATGTTTCAGTACTGGAATTACATGTATACCACTGCTATGCCTGGTGATATAAAAGAATGGGTTGATGAACACATGAATTGTGAAGATATAGCTATGAACTTTTTAGTAGCAAATATCACAAAAAAAGCACCTATAAAAGTAAGTTTATTACAAATTTTTCTTTTAATCTGAGATAGATAATATTTCAAATATTTAATATTATCATAGGTAACACCAAAAAAGAAATTTCGATGTCCAGAATGTACAAATACTGAAATGCTGTCAGCAGATTTAACACATATGGTAGAACGTACGCAATGTATAAATAGATTCTCTTCGATTTATGGCTCAATGCCATTACAATCTGTTGAATTTCGTGCAGATCCAGTTTTATTCAGAGATATATTTCCAGAAAAACTCAAAAGATTCAATGATATTGGAAGTTTATAAATATTTATCCTTTCTAAGATATAATAATAAAGATTTTTCTATATTATTATATTGAAATAATACATCAACAAAATATATAAATACGTAGAAATACATTTCGAACAGAAATTAAATTAATGTAAAATGAATGATCAATTAGAATATTCTCAAGTTGATCATATTATATTAATTGTAAATAGATAATTTTTCTTAGACCATCACATGTTTAAATATATAAATAATTTTGTGAAACAGAAAATTTTAGTTACAATTATGATAATAGAATCTTTCAAAATATTTGTTTATTTAAGAAAAAGAATAAATGTTTTTATACTTATAATAATTATCATTAATAACAGTGTCTTTACTAATGAATAAACGAAAAATAGAATATGTATGAATTATAAGAATATAGGAAATATAGAATATATAGAATATAGAGTATGGAACATAGAGAAAAATATAAATGTCATTTAATCATTTGTTTTTCATAAATTTAATATATATGTTGCATTTAACTTAAATTTTTACAATATTTCGATTACTTTAAGTACATGTAAAAAGAGCATTATTGCTTTTAAAAAAATTAAATATTAATACAAAAAGCACTTTCTTTAAAACTATAGTTGGAGATTTGAAAACTATTATTATATTCTTAAAATTAACAAAGAGGCAATTAGAATTATGTAAAATATTTAAACATCCATATGATGTAAAATATGCAAAACTTATAAATTTAAATCTATATATATAGAATGTCTCATGATTGCTCATGTATCAAATGCCATTTGATATAACTCCTAAGTAGTAGGTGGTAAGAGAAAGATGTAGAGAGACTTGTATCATCATTTTTTATATACAATGTCACTATGGTAAAAAAGTTGTTTTCAAGGTTATTTCAAGGTCAATTCGTGTTTCTTAAACGAAATGCTATATTTTTGTTTTGGTATTATGAAAGTATAAAAAATGCAAGTTCAGTATATGTCTTTGAAATAACCTTGAAATAATCTGTCAGTAAAATATTCTATAAAAAAATTCTACTTTCTCATAAATATGAAACTATTATATTAATCCTCACTATCATTGTTAGCTTCAGCATGAGTTTTGCATATCATCATACATTCAAATTCTTGTGGCATTAAAGTATTCTAATAAATTGTCTATTATGGAAAAATTGTTACATTCTGTTCCAGTGTTTAAAAACTCTTCTATTTAGCATAATGCAGCCACCATTTCTAGCTCCAAACTGTTCTGATTTGTAATTTTTATTTTGTTGACAACTGAAGAATGTGGAAAGCATGAACATAATTGTGACAAATCTGAGATACGTTTGAAGGGCCTTGTATCATCCAGATTTATTATATCCTATATTTTGCACCAAAAATTTCTAATTGAAGCAAACAATTTTTTAAATCAGTCATATCAAAACAGCTAGAAAGCCAAAACCATGCCATTTATTTAAGATAATTAAGTTAGCCATATTAAATATAAAACTGAATTTGTGTTATAATTTTAAAATCATTTGAATGCTTAGTGCTGTCTAATGCAATGGTGGAATCCAAAAACCCTAAAGCATTTAAAAAATTATTAGTTACTGGTAACCTTCTGATTATACTTTTATCAACAGCTTGATAAAATTTTTGGTAATTGACATAAAACTTCTGAATTTTGTTTTTGTGTCATCTGTTGACTTTTTTATAATATCTTCTTATGGTTAATTTTGGTAAATATGCAGTTTAGCAGCTTTGCCATAAACGCGTCTTTTTTTTCGTTTTTTTCAGCAGTAGCTGGGGTTGGCGAATTAATTTTTATAGATGATATTATGGACAAATACACATATTTGAATATATTAAAACAAAATTTATTCAAAACTGTGGAAAAATTAAATCACCCGCAGAATTTCTGTTTCCAACGAAACCGCGATCCAAAGCACACCGCTTACATCGTACGCCATTGGATCATTTGTAATACTTCTCATTCCCTAAATACACCACCCCAGAGTCCAGACATGAATCCTATCGAACATGTCTGGAACGAATTGGAAAAAAGTATTCGAAAATATCGTATAACAAGGAAACCAGACTGGAAAAATGTTCTTTTACAAGAATGGAATAAAATCGAGTCAGATTTTACAAAAAAGTTAGTCGATTCAATGCCCAAACGATTAAAGGAAAGGAGGGTCAACTAAAATTTTTTCGTTTTTTTCACAAAAGACTTTATTTGTACCTCAATGAGAAATATAGATTGGGGGAGCTTAAAAAAGTAATGTGCTTTTACTAGTTTTTTGGCAAAAAACATAAAATTGTTAAAAACTACAGAATGCGTGAGTCGATTCCTATGATTTTTGAATATGTTATAGAGGACGAGATTTTGAACAACTTTTATCTGAACAATAATTGCCGCTTGGGTTTAATTTCCGAGATATTTACAAAAATTGTTCACACTACCGCATTGACTCCGCCTGCACGTATGCCGTAGATCGGTTTCAAAGGATCGCTTATCATTTCTTTCTATAAATAAACTCCGGTGAGCGTATATAACAGGTGATCAGTATGTTGCTTGACGCCTAGGAAGCTATGTTAACATTTTTGTTATTGTTTCGTGAATCAACGTATTTATATTATTGCTTCTACTATGTAATAAACTAGAATAGATAATAAATGAATATGTGAAAAAGTTTTTCCTTCAAATCAATTTGTTTAGTAGTTATAAACAGTTGTACTATACAACCATGCCGTGCCAATACTTTTGTTCAGCACTGTATGTATACTCAGTCCTTCCACCGTGTACAGTAGTACAAAAGAACACCTGTTATTTTTCTCCACTCAGGCAAGTGGGCAGCATTCATACAGAAGTGTCACAAGATTTCTGCTTATATGACCGGCCGCCGTCAGGCGGCCGGGATATACAGTGCTGGATAAAAGTATTGGCACAACATGGTTGTTGTGGCACAAATGCTTATAACTACTAAATATATTGATTTGAAGGAAAAACTTTTTGACATATTCATTTGTTATCTATTCTAATTTTATTACATAGTAGAAGCAATAATATAAATACATTGATTCACATAACAATAACAAAAATGTATTTATTGAACATTTTATGGGTGGACAAAAGTATTGGCACACGATGCTAAATGTAGTATATCTGCATTTGTTTGAAAAATTTCCCATCGTCATTTTAAAATCTAGTTAAGTGACATCCCGATTGTCACTTTTAACAACAATCATCCTAAATTTCAGTCGTTTAGCAAAAGGGAAAGTAAGAGAAAGTAATAATGTCTAGAAAAGCGAAAGAAATGACAAGTGAAGATAGAGAAATAATATTAAATTTGTATAAAATGTGAAAATCTTATAGCGAAATATCGCAAATTGTTAACAAAAGTCGTTTTACTATTAGAAGCATTATAAAACGATTTATAAATCAATCAGATTTTGACACTGCGAATCGAAGTGGTCGTTCTCCCAAGTTATCTGTTAGAGAAAAACGTAAAATTGTAAACGAAGTGAAGAAAAATCCTAAATTAAACTCCTCGAAGCTCAGAATGATATTAAATAAAGAATGTTAAAAAGAAGTAAGTTCGAAAACTGTGCGAAGGGTATTAAAAACTGCTGGATATTCTGCGTGTGTTGCGCGAAGAAAACCATACATATCGGGAAGAAATCGAAAGTTGAGGGTTGAATTTGGTAAAAAATTTATAACGAAGGATTCAACATTTTGGAGCAACATACCTTTTTCAGATGAAAGCAAATTTGACATATTTAAATCCGATGGTAGAATATTAATTTGGAGAAAACCAAATACTGAATTGGATGTACGAAATTTACAATCGAGTGTAAAACATGGAGGTGGTGGAGTTATGGTTTGGGGTTCTATGGCAGTATCCGGGGTTGGCGAATTAATTTTTATAGATGATATTATGGACAAATACACATATTTGAATATATTCGAACAAAATTTATTCAAAAGTGCGGAAAAATTAAATCTCCCGTGGAATTTCTGTTTCCAACAAGATCGCGATCCAAAGCACACCTCTTACATCTTACGCCATTGAATCATTTATAA